GGTGACCCTTCAAAGTCAGCCTGCCCCAGTATCCGCCCCGACACTGCACAAGCTCCCCTGCAGCCTCCGGAGATTTTCCAAATAAAACACAGCTCTTATCTCTGTGTTCCCTTCTTAAAGGCCCTCCATGCCCTTCATGAAATGCCCAGAATTATTCATTTGACTTTGAAGCTCCTTTGAGGATCCAGCCCTACCTTCCTTTCTATTGTTTCTTGGCCCTCATCCTTCAGACCTCTACATACACACAAGTCCCCACATTCTCACCTCCACCCATGCACCTGCACACTCAGGCCCAGAACAGTCCCCACTCAGCACACCAGCCCCTCCACGCTCCCCCTCATTCTGAATCCCTAGATTCAGACATCACTGTCTTCCTAGCACCTCTCCCCACAGGCTGGATCAGGCCCCTCCTCTGTATCCTTGTCGCTGAGATTCCCCTCGTCACAGTACATGACAACAGACTATTTCCTAGCTTCTCCCAAAAGGACAAAGAATACATGTGTCCTGGCTACTACACTGCCCCAATACCACAAATGCCTCAGCCTGCGTAGGTGCTCAAGAAATACTTTCTGAAACAATAGAAGAACAAACACAATATGCAGGTAAAGCTCTTAGCTCGGGGACTCACAGGAAATGGTGTTGACTATCATTGTCACCATCACCCCTCATCACCACTGCCACCGCCATCATCACCTAAGTCCCATTTCTCTAATGGAAACACAATTCAAAGTCCAAGTCTCATTGACAGTGGGTTAAAATGGTATGACATCCCACTTCTGAGGAGGTATTGGCACGACCCTCCCCATATAACCATTCGCAGTGATGTTGTCCAGCTACTGACTGGCCTCTGTGCCCACCCCTACGCAGGCCAGAAAGGAATAAACGTACCTCCCTGAGGACACTTGACCTCTGACCACAGAGCCAGTGACTGTTTCTTTATCTAGAACAGCCCCCCAAAGAGCACCCTATTTCCCTAATATATCCAAGAAGAGAATCTCTGAGCTATGCAGCCTCAGCCCCCTCCCCCTACCACCACAACCACAGCATCACTTGGCAGCTGCAAGCCATCCTCCCAAACAGCCATGTTTGCATTTCTAACAGGCACGGTCACAGACTTGCTGAATTATATTTTTCTCTCTTCTAGACTACGCTCTCTTTGAGCAGAGATAATGTATTAAAATCTTTATGTGTTCTATGAAGCCTGACACAGAGCAGAACCCCAATAGTTATTTAATGAACAAATACATGACTAAAACACAGGTGTGTTAAGGGGGGTTTCCAGGCAGAACTGCCCTTTTCCACCTTAAGAAGATAGGATTTGTCATAGTATTGAAGACATTCCTTCTGCCCTTAATGGAGTCCAGAGGCTAATAACCTTCTGCATCAAGAGGACCGTTTTTCCTTGTCTAACCTAAATTTCTCTAGCTGCTACACAGTGCATTTTCTTTTAATCTACCTCCCTGGCCACTGGGACTGAAACGCATTTCTTTGCAAAGAGACAGTTACTAATTTGCCCTATCCTGTATCTTTGACAAATGCAATCCCAGGTCCTTCAGTGTTACCTCCCCAGGGTCCTATCCTCCACCTCTTTTTCCCTGTTCCACTGCTCTGTGGGCCTTTTGCCAGGCCCTTAAAGGTCTCCCTGGGCTGTGGAGGCAGGAATGAGAAGCATTGTTCTCCAAGGAGCACTGTGCAAACATATGAAGGCCCACCCCTCCCACCTCCACAAAGGACAAACACCTGCACCGTGCACTGCCTGTAGCACCAGCTCCCTGTTCCCGTAGATGCACACCAGCTACCACATTGTCAGAGAGACCTCACCCTGAGCCCTAGTCCTGGGAGTGAGTGCTCCAAGCCAGTGAACATTTACACGCACCTGACTAGAAGGCCCAGGCCTGCATTTTTCCCCCACAGGTGAGCCAAACTAGGTGGGGCATCTGAAGCCTCTTCCTGCTCTTCCGCCTCCTCACTTTCTCTCCAACTTTCCATCGGCCACACAGACAGTGCCTACTTTCTCTCTGCCTCTAGGGATTTTCCACTCCAGGCTGAGAGGGCTGAGTAAAGGCTGCACTCCTACCTCTGCTCCTCTTTCCCCTCATCTTCCAAGTTCCTTCTGTTTGCCCTAAGTACACACCACTGTCTAACCCCTTCCCAACCTCCATTCCTCTGGCTGCAGCAAGCACTGGCTCCAAGAAGGTTTGACATCTTGGAAACAAACCAAGGAGATGAATCGACATGAATCAACAGTGGGCAGCACCAGACTCTGACAGCTGAGAGGCTCTAGCTCAGCCCTGACACTGCGCTGGACTCTGGCCCTGGGCTGCCGGGGCTGTGTCGGCAGGCCAGGGCACTCTGGAGCTCAACAGCAGTATGATACCCATTCATTCCTTCAACAAATATTGACCAAGCACCTCCAACAGGCCAGGCACTACTCTTCCTCCACAAAACCAACACCAACCTTCCCTGACCAGGTGTACACTCTGTGGGTGGAGGCAGAAAACAAATAAGTGAAATATATAGGGTGTCAGGTGGTGATAAGAGAAAGAGGGGAGGAAGGTGGAGAGCAGGTGAGGGTGGGATATTAAAGAATCCCTTAAGATCTGGCTTGGAAGGGGGCATTTGAAGGAACAGCTGAAGGAGGTGAAGGTATGGCAGTGGTGAGCTCTGACGAGAGGTGTTTTAGGTGCCTGTGGCAGGCACCCCAAAGTGTCAGGGAATACCCCATGAAGGGCCAGAGAACAAGGAGCTAGGAGTTGACAAGAAAAATGGTGCCAAGCATGGAACTCTTTCTCCCTACCTCCAGAGATGAGAACAAATTAGGGATGAACTGTGACCTCACAAAAGACAAAAGATTAATGAGCAAACAGGAAACAGATAAGATGCTGAGGTCACTTCCAGAGGGAGGGCAACCCTGTTGTGGGATGGTTAAAGGGGACAGGGAGATGCCCCCAGGGGCGTGCTGGTGGGTGCCTGCCCAGCCAGGAGGGACCTTCTGGCCAGTTCCCCGCAAACCCAGTGGCTGCACACTGGAAGAATTATTCCAGGGAATGGGACAGGGCCTCTAGAACCATTATTTATCTTTTGCCATGTAGCCTGCTTCCCAGTGCCCTTCACAGAAGCCTGCCTCCTGGCAACCCAGTAGGGCAGGAGTGCCATACTGTCCCAGATGAGGGACACCCTCCTTGGTCCCTGACCCCCACAGCCCCATCCTTGCTGAGCCTAGGTGGGCAAGGCCTGCTACGCTTGCTGCAGTGACAGGTGTAGACCCATCCCCCAACTCCTCACATCAAAGGGTGCTGACCTGGAGACAACAGGAATGTCCACCCCAAGGCCCCCACTAGGGCAAGGCCATGCTCATGTCTGACTGTGAGGCCCAGAGAGTGGTGAGACCTGTGGCCAATAATTTGTAGCTATAGTCAAAGCAGGGAAGGGTACGAATGTTTGGGTTTTAGTATTCATATCAGCGAATTCAAGGTTTTCTCCGCAATGAGAAAATGCCCTCACTGGCATTCTGCAAGGCCTCAGGAAGGGGTGAGGAAGAGATAGTTCACCCTTCTCACCCTCCTGTCCTGCCATCCCTTACCCCTCACCCTGGAGTTAGCAGTAGGTTGGGCCTATCCATGCTGCCACCTGCCAGACACCAGCCAGTGGGCAGCAAGCAAACACCATGGCTTGCTGGGGCTGTTCTGCTGTCCTGTGGGGGGAAGCCTGAGCCAGGGCTGGTGCCAGCATGTAGGTACTTCTGGCAGAGGGAGCAGCAGTGGGGCAAGGAGGGGTGGAAAGCAGCTCTCTGGTCACCAACCACAGGTCATGTATCACCCTCAGGCACAGTACTATGGTTTTCCCCTCTAAGAAAGCAGATGCTGGAGTAGAAGGTGGGGAGGGACCTGGAGGCCTGGCCAGGGGGCACCTGACCGGGCCTCTGAGTTTCCCTTTGGAAGACCCTGGATCGGACGGGGGATACAAGGGGTAAATGTCCCAGGGTTTGGGAAACATGCCTGGGTCAGGGGTGGGGACAACCTGATCCTAAAATGACCCTGTCCCAAAATCCCCTATCTAGAAGGGAACCCCACTGCTAGATACTCCCAGCATGCAGCTGACTAGGACCTGGAATCAATGGAGCAGGACTTCTTCCCTCCAGCCACCACCACCAACACATTCTGGCTCATTCTTTGGCTTGGCAATTCCTCACTACCAACCCCTGCCCCTGGCTTTCACCTAAAGGCTACCTCACCCCAAGCCTGCCTGTGGGGCCTCCCACTGGAGACTCTCCAGGATTCAGGCTGAGCCAGTCACTGCCCACCCTCTTGCAGGGCCGTAGAAGCGGTTCAGTCAGGAGGGGGCCACCAGACAAGGCCAGCCTGCCCCATCCTCACAGCAGTGAGGGCCTCCCCCACCATGGACACGCCTCCCACCCCTGGGATGAGAGCTCCTCACCCCAGAGCAGCTGTGGGCTGTCCCTTCACGGCAACCTGCCCTCCTAAGCCAAGGGAACAAGAGGATGGGGGAGTCAAGATGAGGTTATCCTGGAAATCTTGCCCCTTACAGCCTCTTCCCAGTCCGTTATCGTCCCTTCTCAACAGCGGGTTCAGCTGCCCAGACACACAGGAGGCCAACTGAAGAAATTGGAGATCCTTTATTTAAATCAGATCCAAGCCCTGCCCCATCGTAGGCACTCTTCCTCCTCTGCCCCTCACCCCAACGCTCAGTCACGGTGTAGGGACAGGAAAAGGGAAGCCAAGAGGGCCTCTGCAGGGCAGGCTGCCTGGCACACGAGCGCAAGGTCCAGTGGAGCAGCCACCACTGGCTCCTCCCTGTTAATTACGTCTCTGTGGCCACGCTGTGGGCGAAGCACTCGCAGCAGGCAGGCCGGAGGCAGCGACCCTGACCCCCAGCCAAGGAATGGATAAGAGCAAAGAGCTCGGGGGGAGTAGCCAGAGGGGAAGCCCCCAAATTTGGTCCCAGAGGAAAAGATGAGGCAAGCTGGTCCAGTTTTAGTGGGTTTGGAGAAGGGAATGTATCAGTAAGCAATTGGGGGAGAGGCTGCCCTCAGGCACCCCCAAAGGGGCCATGCCAGGCCCCACCCCCCAGAGAGGAGCTGGAGAGCTTGGCGCTCTCAGGAATGTCATTTACTAAATATATATCTATATATTAACATTCACGGGAGGGCAGGGCCAGGCAGGGTGGGATCAGAGGATCTGGCGTGGCATTCCGTAGCCAGTCATGCCCGCCTGAGACGCCCCACGGTTGGTGCCCATCTGTAACCCAATCACATTCTTGCCCTCTTGCAGCTGGTTGTCCGAGAAGTTCCGAGGGTTCTCCTTGGATTTCCTGGGTGGAAAGGGAGTGCTGGTTGGGAGAGGTCAGAGGCTGGCCCAGGAAACCTCCCCCCTGGAGAGAGCACAGCTTTGCTGGAGCTCAGCATGGCACCAGCACTGTCTGGAGAGCTGTGAGCTGTCAGAAGCCACCTCCCATCTCTCAGAGGAACTGTCCCTGGCCCTCCCAGCAGAGCTGTGAGGATTTGGGGAGACAGAAATGCCATGGTGCTTTGCAAAGGGAATCGCCTGCTTCCTAGAGACAGGGATGGGCAGGGACAGTGTCCTGTCCAGGGTTGGCTGCCCAGCAATACTCACTTAGGGAACCAGTTGGGGTCTCCAGAGAAAAGCCCATCATCCCGGGCTACCGCCAGCCCACCCAGGTTCATAAGTGTCCGCTGAACACAGACCATATTCTTTCCTGGAAGGAGAGGGGGTGAGGCCTCAGCTATTAGGACCTGACATCTGATTTCTCCTCTAAGCAGCAGATCCTGCTCCTAATATATCTTTTACTCTTGTCCACACCACCCCCCAACATGGTGGACTCCTGTGTAACATATACACACCACCTGCACACACACACACCCCTCCTCAGGCCCCTCCTCCTAACCAGTGGCCTGGCCCAGTCCTGGTCTCCAGCTGGCAACACCAGCCTGGCCCACCTTCCCAGAGGTCAACAGTCTGGAAGATATCAGTGGTGTTGATGCCATAGGACTCCGCGGCCTTCAGGAACTGCGAGATCTGCTCCATCTGCTTGAAGGCCATGGAGGAGGCCTGAATCTTCTTCACAGGGGCCTGTCCCTCAGGGTGCAGCGAGTTGATGAGCTCACACAGGACCTGGGCGCAGCAGACGTGTGGAGGTGAGGCAATGCCTGCCACAGAGACAGTGAGCACAAGCACAGCTCCTCCTGCTGCCCTGGGTGCTGAACCCAGAGCAAGAGCCTCACTGCTCCAGTGCCCTCCCCGAGAGCACCTCAGGACGTCTAGGGCTTTCCCTCACTCACCTCAAGGCCTCGGTCCTCTACTGAAAGAAAGGGTGGGACAAAGCTGTCCCAACTAATGTCTCTTCTACAGGTAAATAGTCCCCCGCACCCAGGCCAAGCCTTGCTCTCACCGTGCCGTCCTTAAGCCAGTTCTGAAAGTTTTCGCGCCCAGGCTGGGGCCGGCCCACATCCTTGCGGCACTGGGTGGTGATCCACTGGATGAGGATCTGCTCCAGGTCCGTATCATATTGTTTTTCAATCTTCTGCTGTACTTCCCTGCTCAGGCCATAGGCAGGTCCCCTGTTGGCCATTCTGAAGTGTGGTGGTAGCTGTGGGGAGCTAGAGAGGACACACCCAGGCCCACAGTCAGTACCTACAGCCTGTGGAGTGGGGGTTCCGCCTGCAGGACAAGCACCATATCCCTAGAGCACCACTTCACCCCCACAGCCTGAATGCTGGGTCAATTCAGGGGTAAGGTTCAGAACTGCTGCCAGATGGGGTGATATCTCCCTGGGAGGAGTCAGGAGGCCATCTCTGGGTCACCCTACTCCTATGACAGGCAGTCTGTCGATTATCTTAAGAATTCTTATTAGATTTCATTTAAATGGTTCCATGACCACTTATATTGGTCATTCTAACCCAACCTTGCCCTTTACAACAGTCCTGGGAAATGACTTGGGCGGAGGAGGAAGAAATGGAGCAGTGGGGAGACGGAGGTCAGACACTCGAGGACCAGCTGGATCACTTGCTGTCAGTCACTGGGTTTTAACTGAGTACGTACTACATGTGCCGGGAGATGCGGAAAACACAGAAGTCGGGGTCCTAAAGTTGCCCACAGTACCACAGCGAGACTGAGGACATATGAAAGTGTGAGGGTTGTACACTAAATGAATGGGTTGGGGGCGGGGGAATGCCAAACATTAAATGAGTCAAACAACTTGGTGAAGAAATTCAGAGACGCCTAAGTGCAGAAGCAGTCAGGAGGGCTTCCTGGAAGAGACAGCCCTGAGTGGGCCCTTCACAGATTTCAGCACGCAAAAGGAATTTCCCATAAGAAACCAGGCCATAAAAGCACATTTTCCTTTCCTTTCTGAGAAGCTGTGATAGGCCGAATAACGGCCTCCAGAGGTGTCCAAATCCTGATTCTCAGCCCCTGTGGATGTTACCTTATGGAGAAAGGGATTTTTCAGATGTGAGTAAATTAAGGACCTTGAGATAGGAAGATTATTCTGCATCACTGAGGTGGGCCATGCATAAAAGAAGGATCCTAAAAAGAAGGAAAAGTGGAAGGCAGGGTTGAGGTGTAGGGAGAAGGAAGCTGGGCTGGAGGGGTGCAGGACCATGAGTCAATGTGGCTCTAGAAGCTGGAAGAGGCAAGGAAATGGGTTCTCTCCTGATTCCCTAGAAGCAGCAGCCCTGCTCACACCTTCACTTCAGCGAATAAGGCCGCCAATGAACTGTAAGACATTAAATGTGTATTGCTTTAAGTCACTAACTTATAGTCGAGTGTCATGGCAGGAATAGGCAACATGAAAGACGAGAATCTTGGGCCTCCCTAGTGGCGCAGGCAGTTAAGAGCCACACTGTGAAGCTGTCCACAGCCTCTGCCTTATGGGTTCGATCCCCGCCAGCCGGCGAGAATCCCACATGGCACAGCAGACCTCTCCTGACTCACCCGCTGCTCCCCTCAGCAGTGTATTTCAGTCAGTCTGCCTGTTCTGTTCCCCGCTCTGTCTCCGGTGAATCCTCTCACCCTCCCATGCATCTGGCCTGTACCCCAGTTCTCGTATAAAAATAAATAAATCTTAAAAAAAAAAAACAAAAAAAACCCCACGAGAATCTTGAGTGGTGTTTTCAGGGAAATCCAAGAAGAGAGGGAAAGGTGCGGGGAGCTCCTATTACTTCATTTGGGGTCAATGGAAAGAACTAGGTGGTTTCCTGACCACTGGGCTGAGTTGGTAGCACCCAACTGTGGGCAGCCGGCCCCACCCCACACCTCACTGCCCAGGTCCCACAACCAGGGCTGGGGCAGCAATCCTATAACGCCACTGATGCCCAGGGAGAGCAAGGGGCTGGGAAGGGACAGTTTCCCCATGCCAGCCCTGCATGGGCTCGTCTTTCTGCTCTAAAATAGAGCACTAGGTTTGATTTCTCATAAAAGGGAACCCCCCCCCTCCAAGACCAGCACCCGTATTTGGGGAAGAGACACAGACGCTCCTCTCCGCATCTGGCTCGTGGCCAGGTCAGACTTAAGGGATGAAGTCACTCTGGCTCCCTCTCCCACGCACTCAGGTTAAACAGGCATAGAAGCAGCAGGGGGCCTCAGGGAGCCAAGCATGGGCAGAAGCTCTTCAAACCCAGACCCCTTCAGCCAGGGGTTGTGCCACCCTTCCCCACACACCCACATGGCTGCTCCTTCTGCTCCAGTTTATCAAGGAGGGCATTTCCAGCAGAGATCCTCGCATAAATTGGTTATTTTTAAACTTTATTAAAAGCACCCACCCCCGCCCGCAGCCTGAATGCCAGGCCAGATCAGTGTGTCCAGGGCCCTGCCCCCATACCATCAGCCACACACAGAAAGACCAAAAGGGAAAATCTCCCCCAGCTGCTCAGTCACCACCTGGTCTATGTCAGCCTGCGTCCCTGATCCACAGGGTATGGCTGGAAACAGGAGGAAAGGGAAGGGGGCTGCTGTGCCAGCAAGCCCCTTCGCAAGCCCACTGTCCAGTCTCTGTTCTGGAATCAACAACCTGATGGTCACAGGGCTCAGACCTGTGTCTCCAGGAGGCCAGAGTGGCCCAGAGAATGATTAACCCAGACACCAGGGTTAGAACGACAGAGCAGAGCTGGAAACCTGCCGCTTCCCACAGACTACAGGCACCGGGGATGTATGCCGAGGACCCTTCCCCCACTCTGGGGACTGGACACAGCTGGCAGTGTCACAGCCTCCAGCTGCAGGGTCTCGGCTCCACTCTGGAGCCACTGTCCCGGAGCCCAGAAGTGGCAGAGCCCCAGGGTGGAGCTCTGGACTGCAGCCGGCAACGCCAGCCTGCCACAGCTGTTTCCCCTCCCCACCTCACAGCAGGCCAGAGTGTGCTGCTACAGCTGAAGGGGCCCACCCTGGTGATACCCGGACCTGTCCCTGCCCTCCCTCAGAGGAAGGGAAGGCAGCAAGTTGCCTACTTGGGAGGTAGGTTGGCAGGGACTGTGAGCAGCCTAAACCCAGCTGCCTGGTGCTGTGGGAATGGTGCCCCCACCCACAAGGTTACAATAGTCAGGAAGGGGGGAGGGGCCCCAAAGGCCTTTCAGGCCTCAGCCCCACCCAGACCCTGGGCTGGAAGCTTACCTCACCCCACCCCACGCCAAGCCAATGCCAGAGAAAAGAAGGGAGGAGTGGGGTGTTGTGCAGATGTGACCCAGGGGGAGCTTCCCAACTCAGAACAGAATGGGATAAAGACAATTCTGAAAGGGCACAAGGGGGGCACCTGCCCACAAAATGAAGTGCCTGGCAGGAGCAGGCAGACTGGTCAGTGGGGGAAAACCTATCATTAGGGGGCAGCCCCTCAACACCCAAAGTGTGAGCACAAGAGAAAGCTGAAGCTCTGCAAACAGGAAGCCACAAGCTCCTGGGGGAGGAAGGGAGGAGGAGGGGGGGGCGTTGCCATGGCTTCTGTATACCAAATACAGGAGAGGCAAGGCAGGGAGGGGGCAAGGGCAGGAACACCCACTGGGCTCAGGTCAAGTATGGCAGCTGGATTCTTGGGAAAAGGGTCCTCGACAGCAGTCCTCAGACATAGCCAAGTGCCAGGGGACACTGAGGCATTTGCAGCCAGTGGGAGCTCTGGGGCATTTGGAGGTGATGGGAGTTACGGGTTGGGACGGAAGGAGGTGGACTCAGGAAAGAGTTAGGGAAAAGAAATGTCCTGGGAAGGAAAGGGATGCTCTGAGTCAGAGAGCCTCATACCTGAAACCCTGCAGGGAGAAGGATGGGAGAGGAGGGGTCAGAGACCATCCCCAGTGACAAAGGAAGGACTGGGTAGTGGACAGAGGCGGGTGCCCGCAGGACAAAGACCATCTGTGGGCTCTGGAATGGCAGGGCCCTGGATGGCTCCACCCCACCACAGCCTCCTTAGCAGTTTTAGGTCCTCCTTGTGGGGTGAGAAGGAGTTTCTAGGGGGTTGGGAGTTTAGGACACGGGACACTGTGCCTGCGGATGGCGCTCCCAGTCAGAAAGAAATGGGGGTAAGTCCACGGAAGCCACAGGTCACCTTCCACAGCAGATTTCTACGCTAGCCCCCCACTCTGCCATGATTCTCTCCAAGGCTGCCAGGCACCGAGTCCCCCAGCTCGGCCCAGGAGGCCCCTGGAGGCCTACAGAGCGGGAAGGCTGTGGTCCACTTCCGTTCCTGCAGCCCGCCCCCCAGCCACACCCTGCGCCGTTACTGCGGGATGAATCACCCACCCACCCCACTGCCGGGGTGACGCAGTGGTCTGGGCAGCCGGCCCGCCAGCCTGCGGCCACCACTGGCTTTCCCAGCAGCAGGGGGCAAGAGTGGGGGTATGGACCTGGGCGGAGGCGGGAGACTGTAAAGCAGCCATCCCCCACCCCACACTCACACGGGGAGAACGCCCCGGGGCGCGGTCGGGGTGGCTCCCCACGCCGGGGTCAGGGGTCTCTCCTGGGGGCGGAAGGAGCTGCAAATCCCACTGGGACCTGGGAAAGCGAGCCAATGGGGGGCGCGTACCCGGCACGCCCTCCCGTGACCCTGAGGCCCTAGGACGGGAGAGGACGCGAGTAGGAACGGAAAGGACCGCCCGGGGACGCAGAGGGCTGCGCACGTGGTCCCGAGACCAGCAAGAGCAGCGCACGGGAAGCCCCGCCGGGGAGCCAGCCGGGCGCGCAGAACCTGTGCGCGCCGTCCCGCGGGGCCAACAGCCGGCTCCACACCCCTCCCCTCCCGCGCAGGTCCCGCGGGAGCCGGCTGGGGGGCGCAGTCCCCAAGTCCCTAAGTCCCTCTCTCGACTGACGGACGCCCCGTTGGGGCGCCCTCCAGCCTCGCCTGACCTCACCGCTCAACAATGCCCGGCAGGGACGGAGGGCCACACCCGACGCACCGGGCGGGGCAGAGCCGCCCTCGGACCCTCGCCTCCCACTCTCTGACCCCCCCAGCTCACGGGAAAGCCCCTGGGCCCGGCTTCTTCACCCCCTGGCTGCGCACACCCTCGCCCTCCCTCCTGCTCACCGTGCGGGCCGCGGGAGCTGGGCGCTCGGGCAGGGGCAGCGGCGGCGAGTGGAGCGCCAGGGTCCGGCTGGGGGTTTTCAGCCGGCTCCCGCCTCGGACGGGGCGGACCCGAGGCGGGGCAAGGCCCAGGGGTTTAAAGGAGCCGCAGCTCAGGGCGCAGCTCGACCAGGGAGACGCAACCCGCGCAAGAGGATCCAGGAGTCCCGGCCCAAACCGGTACTGGTCTCGGCCTCGGACCCCATAGGCGGGTGGGCCTCGGGTAAACTTTCGACTCGGTTAGCTCAAGGCTGCGGGCCTGTTCATTGCCATTGATTTAAAGCGGTTGCCTAGGTAAATGGAGGCACGGGAGGACACGCTCCCTCCTCCCACTGGCTAGGGTGCAACAGGAGTTTGCAGGCCTGGACAGCACCTGCTTGCGACTTTACTCTTCAGGTACATCAAGTCTGGGCAGGAGCCGAGTGAGGTCATTCGCCTTGGGCCCAAGGGGCGTGGTCAGTGTCGGGACCCAGCAAAAGACGGGGCATCTCCAAAGCCTGGAGAGATGAGAAGAGGAAGCCTCGGTGGAGGGGAGGCTGAAGGTGAGCAAGACTGGGGGTTGAAGGAGGGTCCCCCTTACAGACATCTGCTCCCTGGAGGAGGCCCTGCCTGCACCTGTCCGTGGAGGTCTTGTCTATTATAGGAACCTCTGCTTAGCCTGGTTTCAAGGACACCAACACCACCCTCTCCCCACTTTTCCATTCTCTTCCCCAATCCGGCCCCGGGAGAGCTCCAGTCCTCTCCTAGTCCTCGGTACCTCCAGGGAAGGTAGGCCTTGCCTGGGACACTGTCCCTCCCTTGATGGCTGCTCACCTGCCCTACCTTTCCCCACTGTGGGACCTGTGGGGCTACTAAAGCTCCCTGTGCCTCAGTTCCCTTTGGGGTAGAGCTAATAATGCCACCTGTCCTATGGAGTTATAGCAATTTAACATGCCGGGCACACTATGCTCCACTGTGCTGTCATCACTGTGGCCATGCTCTGTTCTTCCATGTTCTGGGGGATCCCCACGTATAGCATGTGTCCCAGCACACGCTGTAAGCATCCAGGGTTTGTGATTCCTTTGCACAATCATAATACACAGCACATAGCTTTATCTCTGAATACACCGCCTCAGACTGTAACTGTTTCTTTACCTGTCTGCCTCGCTAACTCACTACAAAGATGGCCTCCCCAAGGGTAGAGGCATCTTTTCTCGGTATCTAGTTGAATGGCTAGTTCAATAACCTCAGTAGGCACCCAATAAGTGCTTTCTGGATGGATGTTGAATGAATCTCTATTCATTCAGGAAGATTCCCTCCTTTTTAAGATAGCAAGGGTTTCCCTACCTCCCTCTCAGATTGAAAGGTGACATGCAAACGTTTTTCAGACTTTATTCACCTGTAAAAAACCTCACCCATACTACAACCAGCCAACCAGCAACCCCCACTACATGTACACACACCCACACACACACACACACGCGCGCGCACACACACACACACACACCCCCCCAGACCTACGATCCCCAGGGGCTAGCACACACATCTCATACTAAGCCCACTATCAGGGCTTGTGCCTGAGCACCAAAGGGGCAGGACAGTGCCCCATACTGGAGCTGGATCTTGCTGGCCGCCTCCTTGGCAGGGTTTTGTGTCTTCATCCAGCCTTCTACCTGGGGCCTTCACAGCAGAGTGGCCTGCTCAGGGTGGGGGACCGGCTGTCGGTAGGCTGGTAGTCGGGCTCTCGTAGCATCTCGGCGGCGACGGAAGGCCAGGAACTCCTCTCGAAGAGCAGCACAGCGGGCCTCTGGGCCAGGAGCATGGGCAGTGTTCAGAAGGCAGCTCTCGTCTGGGGTCTTTGCACCTGCAATAGGGCCAAACATTGAGAGGAAGGAGTCTTGAAGCTCCCAGGGTGACGACTCCAACCAGGTGCTCTCCAGTGCCTACCAGTGCAGACAAGCCAGGAGAGCAGAACAGAGAGCCTGGGGCCACAGGAGACTGGGGACAGACTGGGTCAAAGGCTGTGGGGGCTGGGATAGCTAGGCCAGGGATGCCTGCCTTTCTGGGAAATCACACACCTAGCTCTGGCTCAGTTTCAGAGCGGAGTTGAGGGTCAGCTAAGCCCAGATGCAGAGTTTCCAGCAATTCCATGTCCCCAGGAAATTCTGAGTCCCATTCATAGTTCTCATCCACAGACGTGTTCCTCCTGTGTAAAGACAAATGTGTGGTGTGAGTGGAAGATAGAAGCTTAGGTCACCCAAATCAGGTTGGTTAGTCTTTCTTTCCCCTGAAGAGCCCTGGACCTCAGCAGAAGCTTCTACAGGAGACAAGGTCCATTAATCCAGGGTAGGGTGGAGCAGAGGTGAGGGCATTGGAAGGGTGGGGAGAAAGCCTGACATGACAGGGCAGGATAGGGGCCGAGACGGGGTGGTCAGGGACCGCCCTCACCTCTTGCTGACCGTGATCACATGTTCCCTTCGGGGCCATCGCTCAGGGCCGCTGGCCCAGCTGCTGGTGTCTCCTGGAGGTGGGCTGAGGTAGCTGCCTCCCGCAGAGGGGGCTGTGGAGGGGGGCCGCAAAAAGGAGGCACTGCCCCGCCCGCTGCTCTGGCTGGTGAGGCTTCCCCGGGGGGCAGCAGGAAAGAGGCTTGGCAGAAGCCGCTCCCTCAGGGTCCAGTCAGTCAGCGCTGTGTAAGCAGGCTCTGGAGCTGCTCCAGGAAGCATGGCCCTGGGTGCCACAGGGGGCGAATCCAGGGGGTGCAGGAGAGATGAGGTGGGGCAGGGCCGAGTATCCATGTAATCTGGGGTCGGGGCAGGTCCGGGCTCCTCAAAGGGTGGCCAGTCCCCATCCACGTTCATCTCCCGAAAGAAGGGCAGGCTCAGGTATTGGAGCAGGCGTCCTGGACCTGGGAGGGGACTGGGTGGGACTGCAGGAGGGGGCCCTACGGGGCTGATGTCTTTGATGCAGAGGGGCTGGGGCAGCCCGCTGGGGCTGCTGCTGCTGCAGTCGAAAGACCTGGCCTGACGCTGGGCTGCAGTGCGAGGTTCCACGGGCTCAGGACCTGACCTTTCTTGGGTGGTCTCCACGTTGGGTTCCATCACAAAGCGCCCATCTGGTCCCCGGCAAATAGGCTCCAGGGGTAGGGGGCCCCTGCTAGGTGGAGGATCTGGAGGTGGGCTGGGGGGCCTGGAGGGCTCCCCCCACAGCAGACTCTGGCGCAGGCTGGGGGCGGGGGAAGCCTGGAGCTTCAGCTTCACCACACTGTCAGGACTGCCTGAGCCGGGAGCAGAGCTGGCGAGGGACAGGAGTGGGTCTATGGTAGGGGGCCAGTCCCCCTCCCAGGAGCCAGTGTTAGGTCTTGAGAGCGTGCAACAGAACAGAGTTAGGGGAAGCAAGCAGACATGAACCCCTCCATGGTAGAAGGATGGGAAGGAGGTACAGGATCACTGGACCGGCCACCTCCCTCTCACTTCTGGCCCCCATCCTAGTCGCACTGGGAAACTGAACACTGACATGTGAAGCCAGAAAGCAGAAGGAAGACAGGAGAAGGCACAGGTACTTACTGTGGAGTTGATTTCCGGGGAGGAGAGAAGATAAGGGGTGGATCTGTCAGGGCAGGAGAACCTGAGATGACACAGGCAAAACCAAGGCTCCCCACCCCAGGCACCAGACCCTCTCTGCCGGACTGGAGCGGGCAGGATGGATGTAGGGCCACGGGCTGCCAGAACCTGGCACACACGCGGGTTGCATCCTCTCCCTGGCACACGAGCGGGGGAGGGGGGGGCGGAACCCTCCCGGGGCGGGGTCTCCTCGGCCCGAGGCGCTGGGGGGGGCGGGTCTTCCCCTCGGGGCGTGGCCTTCAGGGGGCTGGGCTTCCTGGGGCGGGTCTCCAGCTCTACCTTGGCGGAGGCGCTTGCGGCGCCGGCGGGCCGCTCTGCGCCGGTTCATGAGGCAGGCGGCCAGGACGCTCACCAGCACAGCAGCGGCCAGGAAGAGGACTCCACCCAGCACACCAGCCAGCACCGGCTGAGGCAGGAGGCCCGGCAGCTGTGTGCGGGACGGGTACACCTCCAGGCCTGGGTGGGGGGAGACGATGGAGGAAGGGAGGGTCGGTGCCAAGGCTGAGCAGGCTCTGGGTACCCCCAAAGCCAGTGATCTGCCTCCCCCAGGTTCGCACCTGAAGTGGAGATGTTGGCGGTGTTGCTGGGACCGCTGACATCGCTATCTACGAAGGCCACTAGGCGGAACTCGTAGAGAACATCCTGGGGAAAGGTCCCCCGAGGGGGTCAGGTCCAGCCAGTCAGGTTTGGGGAATGGAGCAGACAGCTAGGACAACCCTGAAGCCCACCTCCCCCACACACCTTTATAAGTCCTGGAACCAGCAGTTGCGTTTCTGTGCCAGCCACTGCCCGGTCAAGCACCTCCCAGCCCTGGGAACCTTGACGCCCCTCCAGGATATAGCCATCCAGCCTCTCAGGGATCAGCTCTGGGGGATCCCAATGCAGAAGTACCCCTCGGGGGGTCCTCACTGCCACCAGGCCCCGAGGAGGGGACAGAAGTGGCAGCATCTCTGTAGGGGGATGCCTGGGAGCAGCTGGTGTGGTAGGAAGCCCTGGATGGGACAGACAGGCAACATAAAGATAGGATTTGCAATGCCCCCTGCCCCCAGCCTTTTACTCCCCTGGCACCCAGCCATTCTCCCAGGGCCCCTAAAGATAACCTGGTTCATCTTACACAAACCCTTCTGAACAAACTGCCCAGCACCTCTGCCCTCTCCCACCCAGATCCTCCACATCCAGGCCTTCGCAACTGCCCTTCCCCACATTTGTCTGCTGTACTGGTGGGGGGTCTCACCTTCAGGTGCAGACAAGACAATCTCACTGAATGGCCCACTTCCCAGCTTGTTCTGAGCAAGGACACTGAACTGGTACTGGGTGTGGGGCTGCAGCCCTGGCACCAGCAGATAAGCAGCCCCCACGGGCACTGCCAGAGACACCCAGTCGTGGTGGGCTCGGTCAGGACGTTTGGCCCTAGAGGACATGAGATGATGGGGGGCACTTTATGAAATGAGAAGACCAGGAGGGTTAGAGTCCAGAGAGTCCTTTCCTTCCTCTCAACCTTCCAATCTCAGGCCAGAACACCTAAGATTTCAGGAGCTGGGGGGGAGGAGCAGAGTTGGGGAAGGGCTGGAATGCAGGAATGGGAGAAAGAACAGAGGGCAGATAAAATCAGGGTGGGGAGAAAAAGGTGGGGGTGGTCACTCACAGTGGGGTGTACCAGACGCTGAATCTCTGCAGATAGCCTCCATCAAAACCTGGCTCCCAGGAGACATTGGCACTCTTGGGCAAAGGCACCACGGACACGTTGGTGACTGCATGGGGACTGGTGCCTGGTGGAAGGGATGGAGGGTCAGTGGTCAGGCCCCGGAGGGAAGGTGAAGAAGTAAAGGCAGTACCAGACCCCTGTCCCCTGTGCCATGTGGATTCCTCTAGCCCCAGCTGGCTGTGCCAGCTATCTACTAACCCAGCACGTAGACATTTGTGGAGGTAGCCACGTGGGCCACGGCATTGCTGGCGGTGCACTTCCAGCGTCCATGGGCCTCCTTGGTCAGCGGTCGTAGGATGAGGCTGTTGTTGCCGTCTACCTGGGCCTGGCGCTGCAGCCCCTGGCCCACCTACAGAACCACTGGTCAGCCTGAGGACATACCAGCCACCCCTCACCAAGGGTGCTACTCATGACTCTAGGCAGCCCCACTCCCCCCCATCCTGCCTCCAATAGCCCTCTCCTTCCCATAGGGTCAGGGGCACAGAAGCAGGGGTATCACGGGCATGGGTACAAGCAGAGTGGGTGGGAGCCTTACCTTGGCCCAAGAGATGGTAGGAGGAGGGTCTCCATGGGCAGAACAGGGGATGAGTAGCTCTCGCCCTACTTCCTGGAAATATTCCTCTTTGGGCCGTTCTATAAAAGCTGGGGGAGCCTGCAAGCCAGAGCTGGCATTGGAAGGGGCCTCTCACACTGCTATCCCCATCCTGGATTCCAGACTCCCCAACTCAAATCTCCATCCTCACTGTGTCTCTAGTTCTGTCTGTTCCCAGGAGAGTCGGAGGACAATGTGGGGCTAAAAGGCCTATAGAGAAGCATTCACCTCCCCTTGGCAGTCTATCCTTTTCCCTGCAGAGAGGGAGGTAGCTTGGTCAGGTTAGAGAGTGCTGGGGTAGGCAGGGCCACCCTCTGTGGCTAAGCTGTGTGTCCCATGTCTCATTTCTGCCACAGAGGCCACCTTGGGCAGCACAGACTGGGGAGCCCTCTGCATACACATCAGCCCCATAGCCTCACCTTGAGCAGCACACGGGTCACGGGGGAGGGCCCTGCAGTTCCAAGACTATTGTAGGGAGTGCAGGAGTACTCTCCCAGGGCGTCCTCGTTCCCCAGGGCAATGATCAGTGAGCCTTCTGGGCCTTGGGACCAGCCGGGGAACTGGAGGGAGAGGAGTGAAAAGTGAAGGGACTCAGCAGAGCCAGAGGAGCCACAGGGACAACCGGGGAGGAAGATATGCAGAGGACACGGGATTCTCCTTCCTTTCTCTGCCACCACCAACCAGTGTAACACAGCCTCACTCCCTCAGGGGGCGCCAACCCAGAATACAGTGTGAATGGCGCCCCCTGGTGCTGAGCCGTGTGGGACTCCCTGCCTACTGGAACCTCTCCTAATTGTCCCCCCAGCACCGGGAATAAATTCAGCATCTTCCACCCCAAACCAGTTCCTTTTCCTACCTTTGCTATTTCTACATAAAGACTCCTCTGTCCTGGCTAACACTAGACGCCTCACTGCCTCGTCCTCAAGCTGACCTCCAGGGAGGGCCTTTGTCTGAGCGAGGCCCGTCTTCAGGTGCTTGCTGAGTCAGACGTCAGGACCTCTCACCTACACCATTTCAACAGCCTGCGACGGCTCGCAGTGTCCGCACTCACCCCCCCCACTCTGCCGACCAGCTCTGCTCCTGCTCACACCTCTGCTGCAGGTTGCGCTCAAACCTCCCTCCTACAGCTGACTTTAGGTGTTTTTTTTTAAACACTGAACAAAAATATATTGAGTACTACAATTGCAGAAGCCCCGGGGACACCAGGATTCAAAGATGCAATACCAGCCCACAAGGAATTTAGTCTTTGCAGATGAACGAAAGATCCCAATCAGCGTGGGATGAGGTCATGTTAACTTGGCATCCGCACTTCTTCCTGTGAGCCCCGACCTGTCTTTCCAGCTTTCTGACACCAATCACGTCCCCAGGGGCCCTGGGGCTCCCAGCAAGCTGGGCGTGGATCACAAATGCCATGCAGTCTTCCCCGCCTCTGGGCCCTGGTTCCTGCCTGCGCCTGCCCCCCTTCCCTAAGTGCTTGCTGCATCCCTGGCCGTCTTATCCCCTAGGCTGCCCCTGCTCCCTGAGCAACCCCACACAGCACCGGGTAAGAGGTGTAGTAGGCTCCCCAGTCACCCAGTTGAATTAAACTGACTAGAATGACACCAAGTGAAGCCCTTCCTCCGCCTGCTCCCAAATCTGTACCTTGTCTAGTCGCAGGGCCTGCCCATCCTTAGTCCAGCTGACAAAGAGTAGCGGGGGGTTGGCACGAGCTGGGCACTGGATCACTCCCCGCATGCCTATGGGCAGGGGTGTCTCGGGAGGCATTGCTGTTACCTGGGCTGGGTCTGGGGGAAGCAGAGGCAGACGGTGGGCGAGAAGCAGGGGCTGGCCCTGGGGACTAGAGCATGCTAGGAGGGCATAGGGTTGGGCTTACAGAGCACAGTGAGGTAGGCGGACGCCGAGGGTGGGTGCAGGAGGCCATTGCTGGGCACACAGGTGTAGCGGCCAGCATCATCGGGCTGTGCTGCCTGTAGCCGCAGGCTGCCATCCACTAGGATCCGCACTCGGGCCTGCAGGCGGCTGCAATGGGACATGTGGGAAGGGCTCAGGCTCTGCTCAGTCAAGAGGCCCTTCAAAGACAGCACCCAGACCCCACCTCTACTCCCCCGGGCCCCACCTAATGTGGAAGACATTGATGCTGTCTTGGAACCAGGTGTAGGTAAGATTGGCGGGGTAGGCCTCAGCCCGGCAGGCCAAGGAAGCATCCTGGGAGGCATTGACCGTGCTGTTCCTGGGGGGCACCACGATGACCGGGGGCCCTGTGGGGGAGCACAAAAGGAAGGAGGCTCAGCCCTAGTCTTCCCATCTGCCCTCTGGAATGCTGGGCTGGTTGCTACAAAGCCTTGCTGAACCCCTTGTACATAATAAAATTTCCTCTTCTCCCCTAAACAAGCTCTTCTTCCCCAGTTCTCCCTAATCCACCAGTGACAACCCATTCACTCAGTTTATCCTCCTGAGAAATTGTTGGGACAAATGAATGTTTTGACTTTGCTGATTTACCCTTTGTATCCTTCATCTGTCACATCTTAAATTGCCTCTACCCTAATCCAGGTGCCCAAACCTTACCAAGACTCAGCGGCAATTCCTGACTCCAGGCTCCCCATCCATACAGAAATGCCCCTATGGCCCAAGAACCCGCAACAGCTCCCTCTCCTGCCATGAGAAGCTCAGTCTATGGACGGTGACCCAGCCCTCCATGCCTGGTCAGCCATCTTTCCCTTGCCAGACCTCCGAGGTCTCAGGTCACTGGGCAGCTTGGTGCACCCAGATTAGGCTCATTCATGTCCACCTGCCCCTACTATCTGAACCCCAGATGCAGCAGGCTCTGGGGGCACACTGCTTTCTGCTCAGCACCTGACTGCACCTCCCAGCATCCCCACAGTGCCTGCTGTGGTGGGCACTCGAGAGATGAAGAAGTGAAGATGACAGTGAGGCAACTCACACAAGGTTGGCATGGAGGCAAGACTCACATTCAGGCTGCCCCTGGCACCAGGGACTGCACCCAACCTGCCTTCCCCACAGCACCAGGTGAGCAACACTGCCCAGTCCTCCTTCCCATGGGGATGAGAGGCCCCATGAAGGTAGATCTGGGCCTTCCACTCCCAGCTTTTCTCCCAAAGGGAAGGTCTTGCCAGGACCTTCTATGACCCATCACAGTGCTTGGTGCAACCTGATTTAGTTCTTGAACAGTCCTGGGAGGTCAGCATGGGCCTTGTCATATAGATGAAGTGACTGAGGCTCAAAGGGATTCCACATACAGGGTTGAACACCAGCACCCAGCCCTTTCCAAGGGTGACACTGCAGGGCACTATCTGCCTATTTGTCCTGCAGATTCTCCAAAGTGAAGATGCTGGTGTTAGGCCGCAGCGCATGTTGGTAGCGCATCTCTCTCTCTCTCCATGCCCATCTCCTCCCCACCTCAAGGTACACCCCCACATCTCAGCCTTCTAACAGAATCGCCTTCCTGCCACCCCAGACAGCACCTAGCACCAGCAGCTGGGTGGCATGGGTGGCGCTGCCCTCAGTGCTGGAGGCCTGGCAGGTGTAGACACCGGAGCTGCCTCGCTCCACCTGTCGGATCCACAGCGTCCCGTTCTGCACCTAGGAGAGGGGAGAGGGAGGAGGAGCGAGAGGGAGGGGGTGAGGAGGGGAAGAATGGGTTAGGAGGGCAGGGGTGAGTGAGGAGAGGGTGGATGAGGGAGGGAAGGCAGGTGATGGGGCAGGTGAGGGGGAAAAGTGAGGAAGGACGGGGCAGGTAGGGGTAGATGAGAGAAGGCAGGGACTGGTGAGTAGGGTTCGGTGAGGGAGGGCAGGAGCGGGTAAAGGAAGGGGGTGGTGGTGAGGGAGGCCCCCACTCCTTTTGCCTCTGATGGATCAGATCCTGCACTCCCAATGATGGCTGACAGAGGGCAGCATCAGCCCACTTCAGGGGTGCCCTACACAGCAGCTCCTAAGCCCCCCCACTCCCAATCCCAGGTCTCACCTGCACCTGACCTTGGACCTGGCCCAGGTCCTGTCCTCGGAGCTTCCAAGTCACCTGAGGCTGCGGGCTGCCACGGGCTACACAGCGCAGCGTCAGTGGCTCTAGCTCCCGCACCTCCAGCACCTGGGGGGGTGTCTCCAGGAACCTCGGGGGCGCTGTGGGGGGAGAGGCAATGAGGCCAACAAAGGAGCTCTCAGGCAAAGAGCGGGACCCCAGGGTCCAAGCCAGCTCAGGACTGTGCACCCAAGCAAATGGAGGCCATGTCAGACACCCCGCCCCTATGTGGCCTACAGGGTGGCACCAAGTGGGAAAGCAGGGTGCCCTTGGAAGAACATCGTTTGGAAGGCTGGGAGCCCTCTTCTATACTCAGCTCTGTCCCTAATCTGTGACCCAGACACTTCGTCTGTGAAACAGGAAAAACTGTGACCTTCTGGCTTCCAAAAGCTGACAGAGAATCAGGAGGCAAAGGATTAAATGGCATTGAAAAAACTGAAATGCTACGTATGTGAGCTGTTCTAGGGCACAAGTCCCATCCTTCCCCCTCCCACCACCCTCCAGGGGCACGGGAGAGAGAGGAGAGAGGAAGGGGAAGTCCCAATACAGAGTTTGGCTACTGACAGGATTCAATATGAAGAACTTACAGGCGAGGTAGGGGAGCGAAAGGGGTAGGTGAGGTGCTATCAGCAAGGGAGGGTCATGGGAGCTAGTCTCCTCCCACCAAGCCAGGGGCCCCTCATTCTTCCCCCACCCACCCCGGGGGCTCAGCTTCATACAGTTGACTGTGAGGTGCACCCAAGAGCCGTTGATGTTCTCGTCCTCAGGGTGCTGCTGGTCCAGGAAGAGCACCCGGCACTCATACCAGCCCTGGTCTTCTGCCCGGAGCCCCTCAATCTGGAGGGAGGCCCCCTTCTGCAGCCGGACTCGCCCTGGGGAGGAGCCTTGAATCAGTGGTGCTGGAGAGACCCCTTGGGAGCTCAACACCCTATGCACACCGTCACTCTCAGAGGCCAAGAACAGACTGTCCTTCTAGGTCCCCCTGAGGGAGAGCTGCAGAGAGGCACAGAAGGGGTGGGGTCACTAGAGCTAATCCCTGAATCAGCCCCTGAGATCCCTCCTGCCATTCAGCAGCTGCGCCCCAGTGTAGCAGAGAGAAAACCAGATGGGCACTGGGTGGCCAGACTTGAGCCCGTCATGGGTACATTTAGCACACAGAGCTCGGCCATCCCAGCTCCAGTACTGTGGGCAGACATGCGAGAGACTTGCTCCATGGACTCGGCCTCACAGTTCTCCCCAGCATCCAGAAAGCGCCTCCTGCCAGGGGGACTCTGTTCCTGCAAACCTCAGCAGGTTGGGGCCTAAGCAGGGACTCAGGCCGCCTACCAATGCCCCTAATACTGCAAAGCTATTATCAAAGGCCTAAGCGTCTTAGGGTGGCAAGAGTCCAGCCAGTCAGTACAGCAAGGTCAGCAGCCTCCTCGCCCTGACCCTCATGCCCCAGGCATCAAGAGGGCTGATTGCCCAGAGTCCACAAGGCCACAGGGCACACGGACACACACCAAGAACCACCCTCAGTCCACATCACACCACCCTGCTTAGTCTGAGGGCACCTCCACGCCCCTCAACACCCTCCCCTGTGTGGCGCTAGCACACAAAAAGCTTCATGGGTCCCTGCGGGGCAGCCAGAGAGGCTGGGAGTGCAGCTCTGCTGTGTACCCCTTGAGCAAGTGGCTTAACCCCTCCCCACCTGTTTCCTCTTCTGAAAGGAGTAAAGAAAGTCTGGGTAGGTGGAGGGGGCATACCAGGGGGAAGGAAGGTGGCATGGTGCTGGGCACCAAATAAGTGTTGAGCAAGTGAGTTTGAGATTTGAAATCAAAGCCTCACAGGTCCTGCCTAACCCCACCCTTCCCCTGATAATACTCCCCACACCCCACTGCATGCCAGTGAATAGCCCCACCAGGCACCAAACTACCCACTTGTAATGATTCCTCTCCCCAGCACCCTACACCCACCCATTTAGTAAATCTTTTAAATCCTACCCCCCAAATATCTGTTCTTTCCCTGTGATGGCCCCCTGGCTTGTTCCCGCAGCATCGCTTACCTGGGCTATAGGTGAGAGGAGGCACTCTCTCTGCCCTACTCATTTATGGGCTGCCCTTCCTCCTTGGCCTCCAGCAGGGACAGATGACAAGCCCCCCAGAGCAGTGCCCATCCCAACCTGGAAGCTGCCCTTCCTAATGCCAGAAGTTCTGAGCTGTCCCTGAGTTGTACAATTCCTCATTTCCCCCTTCCCTTGTAAATAAATCTTTTATTAACCTTTTGTGTGTGCCTGCAGCGGAGTATTAAGTCCCTTTGAAGCGTGTGGGTGAGGACCCAGTCAGGCAACCCGTTTTATATGGGGCTGCCCTGTAACACCTGCACCTCCCACGCTGTCCGGTCTGCTTCCCCTCTACCTAGGGCCATTGTTCCAAAGTGTGCTTCAGCCTGCGGTTTCCCTGATGGGAGTGGGGAAGAGAACAGCCAGGGGGAGGCCTCTGGAGGACTGACCACAGGCTTTATCTTCTAAGAAAACATGTCAGCACAGTCTACAGGGGCTCCACATGTGCCAGATATGTCAGCATCAAGTCTGCTTTTCTTATTGAGGAGCAGAAAGCTGTGAAAGCATTGCAGGCACAAGCATACAGTCAGAAAGCTAAATTGAAAATGAAAACTTTTTTGAGTTTAAAAAAAAAAAATGCAATCCAGGGGTTGGGTTCTCTCAGATGGGTGGACCAGCTAATGAGCATGGTGCTTAAATCCCCACCTAAGAGATATTAAATCCCCACCTAAGAGATAAGCATGGGTCTTACAGGTAAATATTTAATGTTATCACACCCGCCACCAACTAATTACACTGATCTGCTGGCCTGGGGCCCTGCAGACTTAGGCCCCAACTTCTTTGTCCCCCCCATAGCAGTTCCTCACTGCAGATCTTCAAGTTTGCAGGGAAGGCAGGCAAGGGAAGGGAGACTGACCCCAAATATGGGCCATGAGACACTAGGCATTTTGCTGTATTCTATCCTCTCAAGATTCCACATAGAGGAAGGACTTGGGCACTCAGCACTGGGCACTTTTGGTGTCTCTCATGGGAGGTGCGGGTAGCTCATGGGCAACAGTTCCAAATGGTTGCTGGCTAGACATCCAGTAAATACACTCTGTCCCCAACTTTCCTCAAACATCTGGACGGTGGGACTTATGTCACACAACGGGAAGATGGCTCTGGGCAGGTGGCGCTGAGCCTCCTGGGGTCACCCTCCACTGCAGGGTCAGAGCCCAAAGGGCGCTAGATCTCCCACACGCAGGGGCAAGGAAGCAGGAGACAGCATCTGTCCTCTCAAGCCCTCTGACAGCAGGACTCACACTCAGTGGTGCTCCCTGTGCCCAGTCGTTCCAGGAGACTGAGCAAGAGAGGACAGAAGGACAGAAGCATGACTACACAAGGGCTTAAAGGATAAAAGGCATAGAAGAGATGACTGGAGGGAGCAGCAGTGCTCTAAAATGGAGACTGAAAGAACTCATTTTTGTCAAACAGCTCACGACAAGAGAAAGCTCATGTCCCTTCTTTTGTGTGGGGTATCTTGAAGCTCCCAAGAATGAGACACAGCATGAAAGCCATAGACCAACAGCTGTCCCAAGGCCTGGAAGGTCTGGAAGAATCGGTCTGCAATCCATCCAAGGGAAGTAGAGCAGGATAAGGTGAACCGCCTCCTCCAGACATCTGGCCAGCCTCCCAATGCTGTGCTGGGGCCTGGTGGACAGTAGCCGACTGGTCCTACCTGGTCTCACACTGCTGGTCACCACTTCGGTACCAGTCTATAGAGCCAGTGTTCTCTGCTAGATGCTTCCAGACTCTGCAAAGACTTCAAAGACTGGACACTTTCCCTTGAGTGAGGTTCCCGAAACTCTAAGCTCTCTCGTGCTCCATCCTTCCCACCTTCCAGGCTCCCAGAGCCCCCCTCTACTCCTTGCACTTGCAGGGCCTATGACAAGACAGCATTGTCTTAGCAACCACCTCCCTTGCTTAGCAACTGCGGTGGAATCCCCGCAAAAAGGTCACTCCTTCTGGGCCTCCCCGGTGGCGCAGTGGTTGAGTGCTGGGTTGCGAGGCTGCCCTAAGCCTCTGCGGTGCCGGTTCGATCCCTGGCTGCTCCCGGCCACTGGAGGAGGGTCCCACAAGGCCCGCAGACATCTCCTGCTGCCCGCTGCTCCCCTCAGCAGTGTACTTCGGTCCTTCTGCCTGCTCTGCTCCCCACTCTGGCTCTGGTGAATTCTCTCACCCTCCCACACTTCTGACTGTACCCAGTGCTTGTATAAATAAATAAATAAATAAATAAATAAATCTTTAAAAAAAAAAGTCACCCCTTCTGCACTCCAGCAGAATCAAGGTAGTTACTGGCCGCAGCGCCCCCTCCAGGCCCTGAGCCTACCACCCATCTCTGACCTGACCAGCAGCTGGGGACTGGGGGAAGGGAGAACAAGACCTGGAGCTTACTACTCACAGCCCTGGCAGCTCAAAGGAACAGCATACAGAGAAGCCCCACAGGGGGAAAAGAACTAGAGTTCCTCTGGCTTTCTCTGCCTGCTGGACCCAAACAGGAGGGAAGGGGAAGCTCAAATCTTCCTGAAGTCTCTGGAACCCCTTCTCCCTGCTCCTCCCCCTGCCTCCCCAGTCAACCACAGCTAGTCTGCCAGCTCAGCCCAGCCCAGCCCCTCCCAGGCCCAGCAGGCAGAGGCAGGGAGGGGGCTGGCAGGCACAGCAGCAGCTTCTCTGCACTGGTCCTAGATGGGGCCCCTTTCATCTGTTCTCATGGGCTTGTGTAGACACAAATGCTCCCACCAGGCTGTCTGCCAGCAACTGCCCCCAGTTTGAAAATAAACCTTCCCTTCTGCGGCACCTGCCCCAGCCTCTGCCCCAGCCTCCTCCACCGTCTGCTCAGCTTGCCCCGAGAGAGGGCTCAGCCAATCCTCAGGCTTCTCCCAGATTCAAACTAAAAGGTGGGCCCCTCCCCCCTTCAAGGCCTCCCAGATGGCCTTTCCCAGGGGTTTCTCCTTGGAAGAGCAGGCAGCCGGGATCATCTTTGGGTTCTCCCACGTGGTCCTCGGCACCCTGCATTAAACCACTAGGATCATGGCTCCATCTGAATTAGGTGGAAGCTGAGCCTTTCCAGGGAGCAGCTGGGGTGCAGGAGCGGCCCCAGAGAGGCCCATGCACTATTTTAAGTCTGCACAGGAGCCACCTGGGGCAGCAACACAGCCCAACCCATTATCTACTGATTTCTAAGGCATCTAGTCTCCCCAGCCCCGCTGCGTGCACAGGTTCCCCTGTGCTCAGAATCAGGCTGCACCCCCACAGGAGAAGCACACAGATCCAACCACACTGCAGCCCATCAGCTCACTCCCTGAAAACCCCCAAACTAGCATTGAAGATAGTGGGGGTGGGAGGGTGAGCAGATAGAGCCAGTGACTAGAAGAGGGCTAAGGGAGAGGCAAGGGGTGATCAAGACGGTGTGTTGGGGGGGGCGCTTCACAATGAGATCTAGGAGGAGCAATTAGAGAATGGGGATGGGCACTTGGAACAAGGTTGAGGGGTTTCCTTTGGAACAGAACATGTGGCGCTCTAAACACACAGCTATAACATGCTGTGTGCAAGTGTACGTGTGTGCCTGTGCACGTGTGTGCGTGTAAATGCAGGAATCCTTCTGTAATTAACAGTGCTGGGAGCAAAGCCCCGCTTGCAGGCACACCAGTGGTCAAGAAGAGGCCTCAACCCCCCTCCCCAACTCCAGCTGACTTTGTGGAGATGCCTCCCTTCCTCCCACTGAGGATAAGTCTTACCCACGTAATCAGGGTCGATTCGGGGAGAGTAGAGGCCGAACTGGATGAAGATGGGGAGCAGAAACCCAAAGCGCAGCCACTCGATGACGTGAAGGGGGGGCCGGCCAGCAGGAGGCAGTTCGCAGCCCAGCACCGCACTCTCCCCAGCCCGGCCCACCACGGAGACCACCTCAGGCTTCCCTCGACCTGCGGGGTGGGTGGCAGGAGGGCATATTTTCTGAGGGCTCCCTGGGAATTTGTGAAGTGAGCAATCCTGCCCCCCACCCTCATCTGCTCACAGGGAACCGGGGCAATGTCCCCCCACCTTCCACCCTACCCCAGGATAAGGGGGCTTCTGCGCCCAGGTGTCCTCACCGTCAGCCCCCTGGCCGATGAGCAGGCTGAGAACGGCCAGACTGAGGCACCAAACCATAGCCCAGCCGCCTGCCCGCCGGCCCCTCCCGTGCAGGGCCCAGGCGGAGGGGCCCGCGATGCAAACAGCCCAGCAGGCCCGGTCAGTCCTTCTGGCCAGTAGCAGATTCAGTTCTCTCTTCAGGACAGTTAAGGCTTGGCCGGTGACCACAGATGGAGCCTCTCCCCTAGACCGGGTCTAAACACAAAATGCAAGGCCATGTCCAGTTGGCCAGTGTTGGAAAACAGACGAAACCCACACTCAGAGAGAGAGGAGGGCAAAGGAAGAGAAAGAGGGGGAACAAGGGGTGAAGCCACTCAGATCAGAGACTGAAGAGGAGGCTGGAGGAACAGGAGAATGAGGGCATGTTGGGGTAGGGGAGCCAGAGAGGTGAGGTCACCGTGGAAGCAGAAGGGGAAAGATCTCAGGAAAAGCCAAAGACTTCTGGGGATACCTGGGTTACTAAGGTTCTCAGAAACCAGGCAGGAGGACACAGGGGCTCTTATACACTCAGAAAAAGAACTCTCAGAAAGTAAGAGCCCACAGTCTGGCCTCCTCACTCTCCTCTTTCCTCAGTCCCAATGCTATTAACAAGGCCAGTGCCATCACCTCCCCCTCTGTGACAAGGACTTGGGGATCCAGAGAGCCTTCCCCAGGAGCACAGAGTCCATCCAAGGCAAGCCTGGATTAGAACCCCCAGGAAGTACCCCCCAAGCCCCCACTCCCCATCAATTCCTTGCCCCAGTTCCCCAAGCTCTGAACCTGAAAGCTGGTCTTCTTCCCCTCAGCTCCCAACACAGCTTACTGCAGTGAGTGAGCTAGGCACTGGGGGCTGGGGATGGGGGAGGCCACCCCTACCTGCTGGTAGGGGGCCAGGCAGCTTCTTCCAGGTCTGGGCAGGTCCTGAGCCTGCAGCTGGCTCCACCTCTCATGCTGCTGCCAGACAGCTCTCCTCCCCAGACACCACAACCCAAGTGCAGCAGCAACCCCAGTTCCTCCCCTAGCTCCCTCCAACTGGGATGGGGATGGGGATGGGGTAAGGGGTGGGTAGGGTCTGCCAGGTTCATCCTTCTCCAGCCCCAGGGGCAGGTTCGGAGACTAGTCCCTAGCATGTACAAAGCCAGTCCCAGAGCACGGAGGGTAGGCATTCCTGACTGTCCCAGAGCTCCAGGGCAGTGGCAGTGAGTTAGGGCACAGGAGAGCTGCCTTGGGCCGGGTAAATCCCAGCAGGCTCTGCTCTGCAGCCTTCACCCCACTCCTGGCCTCAAGGGTGGTGACCCGTAAGAAAACATCCTTTTTCCCTGGCCCAATCTCTCCTCTACCTGACAGCACCCTGTGTCTAACTCCCTACAACTCTCCAGCAAACATCCCTCTGCTTCCCACTCCCGGAGCCAGCTCCCCAGCACCTCCCCGACAAATCTCTTTCTGCCTGGAGAGGAAGGAAGCCAAGGTCCCTCCTGGCTTGGCTTTCCCATAGCCTTAGCAAGCAGGTATCCCCAAATTCCTCTGCCTTTCCTAAGATCATGCAACTCCTTTGCTTCTACTAAGTCCTCACCTTGTTGTGCCTCCCCCACAATTCGGTATCCCTATTCCAGTTACCCCGACTTCTCACAGCCCCCCATTCCCATTTTTCCGCACCTGATCTCCAGCTGCACCAGGTTTTTTATGCCTCAAGGAACTCCCTGCCTTCTCCTCAATGCCCCCCTCCACTGCCCTCTCCCCCCAGCCATTCCCCCTCGTCTCCTGCCTCAGCACACAATGCACTCTGACACCCACCCCTTCCACAATGCACTCTGACACCCGCCCCAGTGCCCTTCTCCCTTATTTTCTCCGGACCCCTACTACTCCTCCTTGCTTTTGGAACCTACCAAGAATCCCTCCCCAAGCCCACCGCCAGCCCTCCCGCACCCCTTCAGTTCTCCCGGAACCCCCAGCCCACCAAGAATTCCATTTCACTCTCCAGGTCCTACCCCGCGAAGAACTCCACTCCCACCCCACGACGCCGCGCTTTTTGCTGTCCCCCAGAACTCCGCACTGCCCCCCTCACCCCGTTCCATCCCGATGCGCCCCCGCCCTCACCTCCGCCAGCAGCGCTCAGGCCACACAATGGGGGGCGGGCCCGCCTCCCGCCCTGCGCCCCGCGCCCAGTCGCCTGGAGACGGCCAATCCCCTCCCGCGGCCGGGGGACCGCGGGCGGGCGCGACCCCGAGCCGCTTGGGAGTTGTAGTTTCGGAGCGCGGGGCGGTGCATGTGCGCTCGGGTCGCAGGGTGGAGCTCTGGTCCCCCGAGCCGCACCTCCCGCCCAGGTTGGGACCGAACCCCCGGCCCAGGGGCACTTGGGCTGCTCCCGGGCGTCGTCCCCAGTGGACCTGCCCCCCACCTATCCCGCCCCTAACCCGCTTAGGGACCGACGGTGGAAACCCGAGCCGGGGCGGGAGCGCCTCCTCCCGGGGGATCCACCGCCCCAGGCTGCTCCGATCTCGGCCGGATCCCCCTCCCCCGGTTCTCTGGCCCGACTGGAAATACCTGTCTGCGTGGCGGGCGCCCCATCCTGTGCAGGCACCGCCCACAGTGCACTGGGGGAAGGCTGCGCGCGGTGAGCTCCCGGCGCAACACCTTGAAGAACAGGCCCCGAGAGGAGTGAGAGGCGGCGGGACATGGACATCCACAGAGGAGACATGAATAGATGAGCATTTGCGGGATCCCTGAGGCGCCAGACCCTGGACAAGTGCTTTTTGACCCTTATGTAGCCCACACGGAAACCCTGGGAATTAGGTACACGCCGCAAAATGGGGGTCCCGGAGCACAAGGACCTGGCCTGAGACTTCCCATCCCTGACCTGGAGTCAGATCCAACTCAGACTTCATCCAACTCCCCTGTGAGACTTACTCCCTTGGTACTGTGTAGACCTGCCCTCAGAGCTTTCCATTTCCTCGCCCCACCCAGCCCTAGGGATGCTGCCTCCCCAAGCCTTCCTGCCAGGCTCAAAGCTGACAGTGTTCCTGTCCAGGTGCACACTGGTGTCACCCAGTCTGATTCCTGACTCAAACTAGAGCACCGGGCCCTGAATCCTGGGATGATAGCCAGGGTAGCAGGTACAAAATGGGTCTACCTGCTGCTCACAGGTACCCTGCCCCAGCCTCCCTCCAGTGCTCCCACAGCCCCAGGGACCACATCCTGACGGGAAGCTCACCATGCCTGCCTGCTCCATCTATAGTGATCCACACTGGTGGAAAGTTCTTCCCAGTGGAAGCAGCAGGTGCATTTTACCCAGCCTTAGATGAACAGGGTAGAGGGGGTGAGGACAGGTATGGTCTCACCCACCATCCCTTCTGCAAATTCTCCCAGAGAGGCAGCTTTCAGTATCGCCTCCCCTAGTAATACACTGACTTATTGTTGATGAGGGAAAGCACCTCAGTGGACCTGGCACTTCATGAAGCAGGTCAGGCAGCGTGCCCAGGAAAGATGTCAAGGTGCAAAGCATTCTTTACCTCCTGTCTCCTCAGCAACATGCTGGAAAGACCTCCCTCCCCCATGCTCAAACGGGCTCTACCTCCCACCTCCTGCCTAGGCTTTCATTTCTGCTGTCTCCAGGGCTTTCCTGACGATAAACTCATCTCATTTGCACAGTAGAATAAGTTTTTATAAATTTGGGATTTAAAATAGTTTTCAATTTTTAAAAGTTTATGATAGGGTCGTTCTTTCTAGAAGCTTATTTTGTGGCATTTATTATTGTCATTTGGACTCAGATGTAGCTCCACTTTTTGTAAAAAAAAAAAAAAAAAGGAACGTAGGCCTACAAGTTGTTTCCTATCCATGCCAAAAGTGAAATTGGATAAAAATAGTTCCTAAGGCTCCAAACTAAAGATTTTCCTCTGGGTTGTCGTGATCCATAATCATTACCCTCTGGGAAAGTTTATTCAAACAACTAAGATACTACCACCCACATTTTCAGCTTGTTACCAGGAGATCAGAAAGGTTGTCAGTGAAGGACACTGCTGAGCACATCCAGGCAGCACCACGGCCCCATCTGATCAGAAAAGAGTATGGTTTCTAGAAGATTGTCACCTGGCTGTTTTCTATCCCACTGAGGCGCTGAGCTCCATGGAGGGCCTGGAGCTTGTTCTGTGCATCGCTGAACCCTGACTCCAACCCGGTGCTTATCTGTCAGGGGGCCTGCCATCCTTTCCAGCTTCCTCTTTAGCACTGTTTTATCACCCTGCAAGTGGGCTGCAGAGTTCCCTGAGCTCTTCCTCCAAGCCAGGTACTGGGATTGTCTTCTGAATGGCTGCATCTTCCTCGCCTGGACTCACTGCTAATCAAGGCCAGGGCTCCTGTTTACCTCTTGGCTCCAGCTGGCCCTCCCTGCCTCCTCCATCATGCCCTGTCCTGTCCCCTCTAATCATATCTTTACCAGCCACAAAGAGCACCCAAGGGCAGACAGTGTCTGCAGCCTCCTCAGTGCTGGCTCAGGGGCTTAGACAGTACCCACCCACCCACCCCCATCTCAGACAGAAGGGGCTACAAACATCAGGTGGTGATTAGCCACTGTCTTGGGGGGCTCAGCCTTCTTTTGGGTGCCCTGGGCTACTTGAGGGCCTCAGTATTTCTCCAGCCAGAGACTGGCTGTGAGAAGAAGGGACTTGGACCAATTCCAGGGAGACCCCTGTGCCTGCCTTAGAAGGCATTCATTCTTGTTTACTTTCTGGGTATCTGACTCTGCATGATAAACAACTGGCCTTGTGTGCAAGATGGATCCCAGCTGGTCATTTCCAGTCCATCTTTAGATTAGGGACTGCAGACCCTTTTGAAGGAGTCAGAGGAGTGAGGGACTGGGGCCAGGAGGCTATGGGACAGTCAGCCTCAGGGCCAGGTAGCAGGACAGTCAGCCTCAGGACTGGGACTGCCTCCTGTGAGACTAGGGCTCAGGCCCTCAGGAGTAGAGAAAATGTTACCAGACCAGCCTTCGGAGATCTCTTAGGGCTCCATCTCCAGCACAAAACCTACACAGAAGCCACACTTACCTCCTGGCCCTGCTCCTTTCCAGAGCAAAGGCCCTGACTCTTGGCCTCCAGTCAAGGGGGCTGCTAAGATCCCTTCCCCTGGGGATCATGTTTACCCAAAAGCAGTGTCCTCCATCACCATAGATTCCCCAAGACCTCCCTCTGCCTGGCACAGTTTTCATATTCTTTTTCTTGGAAGGCCTTTTGGAGATCCACTTTCTCTACTCAGAAAGGGGAAGGAGTTATCTTCCTCCTAGTCTCCCACACACTTCTGAAACCCCCGCCTCTGTGGTGCCAAGGGGCCCCTGGGTCAGGCCTCTCAAACAGCTCCAACCAGCGGTCCCCATGCCTGCCTCCCCCTCAAAGTGTGTATCCCCGCGGGAAGGTGCTGTGGCTCAGCGGACACTTGCTGAACAAAGTGTCCCAAGCCAGAGGCGAGTAGCAGAGAGAGCTGGCCCAGCCCAGTGCTGTCCCCACCTTGCCTATCCCATCTCCCCCAGTTCATTCACTGTCCAGTCCTTTAGGTGACTCCCCAGCACACACACACATGCACACCCACAAACATACACACTCACATGCATGCACACAGACCCACACAGGAACACACACATGCACACACAACACGCCAGAGCGCCTGCAGTAATACCTGACAGGGAGAATGAGGGTGGCTTTAGCAGGGGCATGCCAAGTCTGGGGGAGGAATTTGGCTGATCATGGAGCTTGGGAAAGAACAAGAACTTCAGATCAAGGGCATTTGCAATGGCGGGGTAAGGGGGTGATGAAGGGGGAAAGCATTTATCCAGGATAAGAGTGCAGAGAAGTCTGAGACACGGAGGCCATAGAGACAGATGGGACACGCTAGCATCACAGAGGTCACCCCCTGGAGAGGCACCGGGGTCCTGGCCATCGGGCACAGGGAGGAAAGGTCACAGGGTTGCTCAGACCCAGAGGGACTGTGCGGGGCACTCAGGGTGAGTCTCCCTATGCAGGACAGCCTCCTGACAGAGCAGGTGCATGGGGGCCGGGGGGTTATATCACCCCGCCTTCAGAGGAGTAGGAATGATGGCAGAGGAGCCTCCGCACCTGCAACCTCCCTTAGGAGCTCACGTCAGTGGCTCAGAGGCACTTAGTTAAAGTGTAAATGAAATGTGTGTTGATGGGGAATAACAACATGCCAACACCTCGTTGTGAACAAGCCTTTAGACTGCCTTTCCCCGAGGGTAGGCTGGGTAGTGTGGGCTCCTGAGGGAACAGAGACCCCAGTAAAGAAGGGTTTTCCGGTCTTCTGGGAAGAAGAGCCGGGATCTGGGACAGAAGAAGGCAGGAGAGGGGCTCAAGGCTCGGGATTTGCCAGAGCTGCCCAGGGAAGGACCTAAGGCAGTTTCTCTGAGGCACAGGTTCTTCACTCGACTTTATTGACAGTCTTCCCTCACTCTGTGTCCCTTGGCCACACATCATTCGCCCCATGAGAGGACAGGAAGGGGCCCAGGGGCATCAGGGCAGGCTAGGGCCCAGCTTGTCCTTCTTTCTCAGCCTCATTCTATTTCTCCTGAGTTTCTTCCCCTCCGGCATCTCACGTCTCACCCAGCTCCGGCTGAGCCAGAGCCCCGCGGCCAGCATCGCCAACAGCACCAGGAGGAGCAGCCCTTTGGCCAGGATGCAGAAGGGCCCTCCAGCCTTCTGGGAAGGACAGCCTGGATCTGGGACAGAAGAAGGCAGGAGAGGAGCTTGCCATAGGGAGGGGCAAAGTCCACACGGGCAGACTCCTACCCCGAATTCCATACACACAGCAGTCTCAAGTTCATAGTCAGCTGCAGTTCCTTCGCAAGTGTCTGGAAATGCGTATTCTACTCACAGAGGCTTAGGAACTGAGGGAGCAAGTGCAGCTGAGCAAGAGAAGAACAGATCTTTGGAAGTGGGGAGCACAAGGAAAAGGGGGGCAATCCAGGGATCTAGTCTCTGCAGAAGAGCAAGTTTTGGACTCCCTGTGCTCTCCAGGGAAGCGCTGGGGGAAGTGGCGGCTCAGGGGCTGTACCTGCACAGAGGAGTCTGCCAGAAATGGGACGAGAGCTGATGCTGCTGACAGTGTTGTTGGCCTTGCAGGTGTAGGAAACGGCTTTGTCCCCAGGCCTCCAGAACATGTTGAGGACAGAGCCTTCGTGGGTGGTGTTGGTGCCGTCCTCCAGGGACACCCAGCTGTAGGTCACATCATGGCCTGCCTTCTCCACAGAGCATGTCAGGGACACATTGCAGGAGATGTCCCCCAAGATCTCCATGTTCACAGTGATCCGGGGCTCTGACAGGCGCCCTAGTGAACAAAGGCCCTCTATGTAATCATGTGTGGGGTCTGCTCTCCTAGCTCCTCAACCTGGGGTATCATTGCCACCTCCTGAGCCCCTTCACCTAAACAAATAAAACCAATAAAACCCAGTCACCACAGAACCTCTGGCTCCTGACAGCTGCTATGTGAACAGGGGCGCCTTTGGCATCTTCAAGTTCTCCTTTGTAAAGACCTTCTTTCTCTCACCCTTGCCCCCACTTCCTTCCAGACCTATTCTGTCTCCTTGATCCAACAACAACATGAGCACCCTTCCCAGGGTATTTAGTTTCATCCATTCATCCTGGAATCTGCAGATTCCAGGTAGGGCATCAGTCAATGAGACAAATATTAAGAAGAAATTTGGGGGCCCTCCCTGGGGGCGCAAGGGGTTAAGACGCAGCCTATGAAGCTGTCTGCAGCCTCTGCAGCACGAGTTCAATCCCCCGCAAGGAATCTACCCACATGGCGCAGCAGACCTCCCCTGACTCGCCCGCTGCTTCCCTCAGCAGTGTATTTCGGTCAATCTGCCTGTTCTGTTCCCCACTCTGTCTGTGGTGAATCCTCTCACCCCCCCCACCTCTGGCTGTACCCCAGCTCTTGTATGCATAAATAAATCTTTTAAAAAATGAATTAAAAATACTTATTAAGAAAAAGAAGAAATTTGGGTTCAGATAGGAGGCATGTGCCTTCAAATTGCACAGAGAAATGCAGGTGGCATCCACCCCCAGGATGCAGAATATCACTGGGAGAGGAAGGCCCCTGGAGGTATGCACACCACCCCCCTCTCTGGCTGGGTACCTCCTCAAAACAGCCTCTCCCAGGTCCTGCTGCTCTGAGTCATTTCTGTGGCTGCAGCTCAGACCAGAGTGGGGGACAGTGGACCTGCCCTCCTTCCTGTCTAGGTCCCCAAACCATAACCTGAGTTCTAAGACCCAAATCCTTTGCATGGGAAGCTTAGGAGAGCCAAAAAAGAGGCATGATTGGGTCCCAGACCAAACTCACAGTAGACGTGGAGTTCATAGCGCTGTAGGATGACGAGCTGGGATGTCCTTAGGTTGACCTGTGCTTGGTAAGGCCCTGCGTCCTCCATGCTCAGGTTGCTGATACGCAGGGAATAGCTGGGGTCCAGGTGATCCACGCGGTCCTGGTAGCGCAGGTCATACAAAGTGAAGGTGCTTGGATGTGCCTCGGTCCGGGGCACTATCTTGGCAAGCTCCGTGGAGGAGGACCAGATGATGCTCTCAACCTCTTCATTGGATGGTATTTCCAAGGGCAGGAGGATGGATTCCTGAAGAACCCCAACTACATCAATGGGATCCACATCATCTCCAGAGTCCCCTTTGGCTGCAGTTAAAGGAAGAAAAAATGGAAACAGCTCAGTTGGTGTCTCTGGGCTGCTGAGCCTGGCAGGGACCAGTCTCTATCCCAACTGGTGCAGCATCTCTGGCCCCCACGCTCATTCCTGCCTTCTGGCTCCAGTGTGTCTGACTAGAGCACCTCCAGGGGATGGGCATCCATCACACTCCTGCCATCCAAACACCCCCTGCTCTTGCTGTTGGGGCTGCTCCCTTCCCACATGCCAGGTCTGTGCATTTTTGGATTCTGCTCTGAAGCTTCACTTTTTTTATATATATTTATTTATTCATGCATACAAGAACTGGGGTACAGGCCAGATATGCAGGAGGGTGAGAGGATTGGAGACAGGAGAGGTCTGCCGCGCCATGTGGGATTCTTGCCGGCCGGCCAGGATCAAACCCGCACTGTAGAGGCTTTGGACAGCTTCACAGTGCTGCGTTCAGCCACCTGGCCTGTGCCACCAGGGGAGGCCACTGAAGCTTCACTCTTTGTCTTGTCTCCTCCAGAGGAGCTAAAGCTCACAGCCCCACAGTGAGGGCATTGTGGTCCAAGACCAGCAGAATGCAGGCAAGGTGGGGGACAGGGCTAGACACTGCCACCTGGAGCTAGGCCCACTCACCGTGCTGGAGCAGCCAGAGGAGGAGCAGCCACCGAAGGGCCTCCATGGTAGCAGCCCGTGTAGTGCAGCAGGTGTGGCCTGGTCACCTCGGGCCTGTGAGGATGAGGAGCACTCAGGAGGCTGCCTGAGATAGTGAAAGTGAGGCACCAGAGTTCCAAGGAAAGGAAATGGTTTCTGTCCCATCCCGGCTAGCAGCTCTACTTCCTCCATCCCCAAGAAGCTCCTCCCTGGCTTCTCAAGTATAGCGTGTCCACTGACTCATTCTTCCTGTCCACCCAAAACAGCTCAAACCCCAATTCCTAAGTGAAGCCATCCCAGGCTTGCACCCTCTGTGTTTTGGACCCCCGGATGCAATCCCATGCCCCAAACACTGAAGACACTTCCATCAGCTCTGCGGGCTGGCTCTCTGTGTCCTCTGCCTCCACTTTCCTTATGGTCCCCATGGTGTGAGCACATGACCTGAGAGGCATCTTTATCCCAGAAGCAGACTCCACCTTTGGGTCATCTCCGTATGTCCCTAGGCTGGACACTCAGAACACTCAACTGATATTTGGAATGGATGCATAAAAGTTCAGTCTTTCTATTTCAAGCTAGCCATGTTCCCACTTGAAAAACTATTCAAGGGAAGAAAAATTTGACCTCTTAAAAGCAGCAGTTTGGCCCAGAGTGCTGATCAAATTTGTTAATATTATGGAAAGACTTTACATCATTGTGTGAGAATATGACATAGATCAAAGCTATAGGGAGTCAGTGCGGGGCATGGGGGTAAGACAAGACTTTCCAATGGTCAGAGCTGTCCACCGTGCAGTGGGTGGGAGAGAGGTGGGAAGGCTAGAAGGAAGGGGGTGGGGGCTGGGCAAACAGTGGCCCTCCAACCAGATCGGGGCCCCATGAAAACACCTTCCTTAGCAAATTTCGCTCGGGTGCAGAGCACAACAGCTCATCAATGCCCCAGAGCTAATCAGACTGAGGCCGCCACCTCATTTATTCAGAGCTGAAGTGAACTGACTTATAAAGTTAGCATTCCTCCAAAAAAATATTTATGAGGCTCCAACAAAGTGCTGGCCACCTGTAGACGTGGGCGATAGCTGTGAGCAGGAAAGCAGGAAAGGTTTCGTTACAATTAGGATGGGACTTGCGAGGAGATGAGCAACACTAACTAACAAACGCCAAACAAAGTATTTGGAGAGGGCCTCCCGGGTGGTGCAAGGGATTAAGCACAGCACTATGAAGCAATCCGCAGCCTCTGCAGCATGAGTTTGATCCATGAGTTCGATCCCTGGCCGCCAGGGAGCCACCCACATGGTGCAGCAGATCTCTCCTGATGTGCCCGCTGCTCCCCTCAGCAGTGTATTCTGGTCATTCTGCCTGTTCTGTTCCCACTCTGTCTCTGGTGCATCCTCTCATCCCCACATCTCTGGCCTGTATCCCAGCTCTTGTATGAAGAAAGAAAGAAAGAAAGAAAGAAAGAAAGAAAGAAAGAAAGAAAGAAAGAAAGAAAGAAAGAAAGAAAGAAAGAAAGAAAGAAAGAAAGAAAAAGAAAGAAAGAAAGAAAGAAAGAAAGAAAGAAAGAAAGAAAGAAAGAAAGAAAGAAAGAAAGAAAGAAAGAAAGAAAGAAAGAAAGAAAGAAAGAAAGAAAGAAAGAAAGAAAGAAAGAAAGAACATGGAGGAAAAGAAGGGAAGATAAAGGAACACAGGGGGAAGGGAGCACTGGAATCCAACAGGCCAGTGGCAGCCCTCTTGTCCAGACCTCCCCAGGACACAGTCATCTTGGGGAGACACAGCCAGAGGGCTGCCATGAGGATGGTGTTAGGGAAGGAGATGAGTGTTTCAACAACTCCGTGACAATCCCTGGCATCCACCTCTATAGAGTGCTTCACCCGGGCTGCCGGGGCCCCTGGGTCTGGCTGACACTCCCCGGACAGCACAGCACTGAGATAGGACAGCGCGGTGAGATTGTTAGGGGGAAAGGATGTCCTGAGCAAACTCCATACAGGCTTTGTGGACTCCACCCCCACTCCAGACCAAAGCCTTCAAGACTTTGGGAATGACAAATCCCATCACCACCAAAGGGAGGGTTGCTGGGACCTGAGGGTGGGGTTAAGCAGCCAGGTGTGGTATAAAACGAGACACATAGGCCTTGGGTTGTGTTCTCTTGGCCTCATGGCTCTTGGCTCTTCGCCAGCTCTCAGTGTGCCATTGGGATTCCAGGTCAGTGGAATGGGTAGGGCACACTTAAGAATTTATCTCCCTCTTTTCTCCCTGAGTTGCACATATCCTCATTTCCCCTTCCCTTGTAAATAAACCTTTGATCAACTGTTTGTGTATGTCTGCAGTTTAGCATTAGTAAGTCCCCTTCAAGCGCGCAGGTGAGGACCCACAGTCAAGCAACACGTTTAATAATTGAGGTTGCTCTGTAACAAGATGACTCCTTGACTCCTCCTGCAGGCGTCCACACCACCCACCTTCATTTACCTTCATCTGATGGCTTGTTTGTTAGAGGAAATTTGCAAACCTCATTTCTGATCTTCCGAGTGTTTGTGTCCTTTTCTCCTTATATGACACCCTGTATCCCACCCCACACTCACACACTTACATTAAATACTCAAAGGCTGCAGCTCTCCCATCATCAGAGACACAAGGAGCTCAGTGGGGAAGACACCCTCTTTCTTCCCCATCAAATTCCCAAAGAACTTACCTCTGGGAACCGTTCACGAGCCAAGCACTCTGCTTCCTGGTCAAATCTCTCTCCCCGGGGCTGCTGACCTCAGAACACTGCAGGGGGGTTGGCTGTTGACCATGGGACTGTGAGAGTGGACCCATCTCAATTTGAGAGATTCCCTTCCCTGGAACAGGCTGGTAATGTTGTAGAGCAACCCCGATACAAAATGGGGTGCCTGACTGTGGGTCCTCACCCGCGCGCTTAAAAGGACTTATCAATGCTCTACTGCAGGCACACGTGAAAGGTTAATAAAAGGTTTATTCACAAGGGAAGGGGAAATGAGGAAATGTACAGCTCTGGGAGAAAAGTGGGAGACAAAGTTTTAAATGAGTCCTACCCGATCCGCCGATCAGGAATCCCAAATGGCACTCTGAGAGCTGGCCGCCAGCCGGGAGCCGTGAAGCAGGGAGGCGAGCGAAGGCGAGCCACCCCAAGGCCCACGTGTTTGGTTTTTATATCCAACCTGGCTGCCCAACTCCACCCTCAGGTCCCAGCCACCCTCCCTTGGTGGTGATGGGATTTGTCTTTCCCAGAGTCTTGATGGCTTTAGTCTGGAGTGGGGGTGGAGTCCACAAAGCCTGTATGGGATTAGCTCAGGACATGCTTTCCCCCTAACAGTAACAACACCAACAACAGGAAGTCTTTCCCCAGCTGTGGAAATGCAGAAGTGGGGCAGGCCTTGGGGCTCTCCCTGCTTGCAGGAAGAGGAAATGAGAGCAGAAGTGGGGGTCCAGAGCACAGGATTTGTAGTTAGGGAAGGAGGGGTAGAGAGTGTTGTTCCAGAATTGGCAATTCCCAGCATGGGGCATGCTCTGGGAGTCCATGCAGCCGCACACAAAGCGGCTCACTGGGCCTTGCTGGCCAGATACTATTGGGGGCGATGCCACACAGCCCATGGGGCAGAGCTTTAATCTCCAGCCCTCTGCAGGGAGAAAGGACCCTGCCTGGCCCACAGCCCTCATCACAAGTCACACTGAGGAGACGTCTGGTGTCCAAGTCTGGTGTCCAAACCAAACTCTCCTCAGACGTGACCTCTGGAGGGGAGCAATAGCCCTCCCTGTGTCCAACAGCAGCGCTGGACCTCCCTTCAGTTAAGTGAATTCTTCGCCATGTGCTACATTCGTTTTTCAAACTAAGGGAGAAGGAAGGAAGGAAAAATCAACGCTCATGGGGCATGGTGCAGGCGCCACCAAGCCCCGTAGCTGGCCAAGCCCATGAGATGGCCTTGCCCCCGTACGAGCTACAGGTTGGAGGAGCAGCCTGGCCGAGGGGCGGGCTCTCACAGTGTTGTAGAGCAACCCGGATGAGACAGGGCAAGCTAGGGTTATTAGGCAGTTTTAGGGATAGTGCAGGAGGGGACCTCTGAAAAATTTAGGGAGGCTTCAGAGATAAGGACAAGCAAGGGAAAGTAACCCATTCCACTAGGAAAAACAAACATCTCAGGACCAAGGACAACGTTGTTAACGCTGGTCCTGGTTTCCTTCAGGTGGTAAAGGGAGGCGGAGATTGGAGAAATGGAGAGTGGTTTAATTTATGGACACATTAGAAGGGCAGCTGTTTAACTTCAATGCAGGGATGCCCATCCAGAAGACTGGGCCATAAATTTGAAGATGCAACAAATGGGGAAAGAGAAAGCTGTTAGATAAGGAATGTGAAGATCCCCACTCAGTTGCAAATTAAGTGAGACAGCCGAGAGCTAACCAATCACAAAGAGACTGGGGCAGCTTTAGAATAATGAGGGAAAAAAGGTATATATTCCCTAAGACACGACTCCACTTTGGCTTCCTTGCCCCTCCCAGGCCTGGTTCCCTGGCCTGGGAGTCCCACTTTATTTCTGCTCTTTTTCTCCTCAATAAACATTTTCTTCTAAACAAACCTGCCTCTTCTTGCTTGCTTGCCTGAGCGTCTGCGAAGTTCCTGCTGCGGCTTCGTGAGAAACCAACCCGTGGGGGTCTAGCAGCTGGGGCTCAGCACTGCCCTGCAGCCTGAAATCCGATCCCGGCTGGGAGACTAGGCCTGACAATTCCGGTATCACCGATACAAAACGGGGTGCCTGACTGTGGGTCCTCACCCACGCGTTTAAAAGGACTTATCAATGCTCTACTGCAGGCACACGCGAAAGGTTAATAAAAGGTTTATTTACAAGGGAAGGGGAAATGAGGAAATGTACAGCTCTGGGAGAAAAGTGGGAGACAAAGTTTTAAATGAGTCCTACCCAATCCGCCCATCAGGAATCCCAAAATGGCGCTCTCAGAGTTGGCCGCCAGCCAGGAGCGGTGAAGCCAGGAGGCAAGCGATAGCGAGCCACCCCAAGGCCCACGTGT